GGTCCCAGCTATACATCCTGCCTAGCTATTGACTGTTCAGCTTTTGATTACACCAATCTCAGCAATACATTTTCACACAGTGTACAAATACCCCACAACAGAGACCTGATCCTCTTTCAAAGAACACCATTTGAAAAAAAGATCCAAGTTTTACAAATCCTTCACTGTTCACCCTTAAAATCTTTTTGTATATGATCTCCAAATTTGCTTCTAGCACACAGTACTAGCCAAAGGGGGAAAAAACCTGAATGACTTCAGACACACTAAAAAGATCTTTATTTAAAATTAACCTCCATGTGGCATCTCTTGAAAAGAGAAAAATACCACTTCTCACTTTGGGTTTTTTTCTTAAGCTTACTATTGAATATTCTAAAATTCGTAGTTGGTTCTTACAACATTGAAGTACATTGAGAGTCTAATGCCAAATATCATCCATACTAAAGGATAAATGACAATTACAATTGCTTGATCAAAAGGAGTTATTGTAATGTTCCTTTCCAAAATCAAAGTTTATCCTTTGAGATAGTAATCAAAATATAAAAACACAAGAAACTAGAATCTATCCAAGGTTTATGAGTGGTTATCTATAGTAACATAGGTTCATTAGTTGGGATATTTTCAGTCTAAATTTTTTCATTCATTTACTACCATCCTGCATTGCTTTACAATGACATAATTGACAACAACTTTGAAAGCAAGTTATATGACAGGTCAATTATTTAGATAGTAGCATAGGTTCAGTCTTTGTGAAGTCATTATTTTCCAAAACAAATTTTTAGTTTTATGCTTAAATATGAGAAGATTCAACTAGTACACCCTTAGTTTTCTTAAAAATAATAATAGTAAATTCCTTTTTCTGAAAAAGATATTCAGCCATATAATACACTACTGGTTTATAATCACTCTTACTTACATAATTTCACAGTAATAATCTCAGTAGAAAATTAAAAGACCTATAGTTTTCTAGAATTACACCCATGCATTATTCTTATTGTGACATCATTGTGAGATGGTGATGTTACCTTTCAAATTCACAGTGTTTTCAAACCTCTAAATAGTTATAAAGTGACTATTATTAATTGTCTTAACATAATGACAGTTTCATTTATTTCAGCATATGTGTGACTGTACAGAGCACATGTGGATTTCAGAGGACAGCTCTTGGGAGTGGGTTCTGAGAATCAAATACCAGGTCATCCTCTAAGCCATCTCTCCAACCCCACAATGATAGCTTTGAATGCAAATTATGTTAAATTTGATGTAAAAACATCAAATGCCCATATATATAGCCTTCAGTCCCACTCAGTGCTCAAAAAGAAAGTTTGGTCTTAACCATACAGAATAATAAAACTATGCTTCACCTGTAGATGGAGGATTAAAATTCCTGATTAAAATTCCTGAGTTGGAGATTAAAAAAAAAAAAGAATCAGGACTGAGTGGATGCCTCAGCTGGTGAAATACTTGCCATGCATGGTTAAGAACCTGAACTCTATCCCCAGAACTCAGTAAAATAGCTGGGCAT